GGGTGTGAGGTGTCTGTGTATGTGTGGGGTGCCTGTGGGTGTGGGGTGCCCTGGGTGTGAGGTGCCCTGTGTGTATGAGGTGCCCTGTGTGTGTGGGGTGCCATGTGTGTGGGGTGCCTGTGGGTGTGGGGTGCCTGTGGGTGTGGGGTGCCTGGGTGTGGGGGGTACCCTGGGTATGGGGGGTGCCCTGGGTGTGTGGGGTGCCTTGGGTGTATGAGGTGCCCTGTGTGTGTGGGGTGCCCTGGGTGTGAGGTATCTGTGTATGTGTGGGGTGCCTGTGGGTGTGGGGTGCCTGTGGGGGGGTGCCCTGTGTGTGTGGGGTGCCCTAGGTGTGTGAGGTGCCCTGTGTATGTGGGGTGCCCTGAGTGTGAGGTGTCTGTGTATGTGTGGGGTCCCTGTGGGTGTGGGGTGCCTGGGTGTGGGGGGTACCCTGGGTGTGGGGGGTGCCCTGGGTGTGTGGGGTGCCTGTGGGTGTGGGGTGCCTGTGCGTGTGGGCTGCCTGGGTGTGGAGGGTACCCTGGCTGTGTGGGGTGCCTGTGGGTGTAGGGTGCCTGTGTGTGGGGTGCCTGTGTGTGGGGGGTGCCCTGGGTGTGTAGGGTGCCCTGGGTGTGTGGGGTGCCCTGTGTGTGAGGTGCCTGTGGGTGTGGGGTGGCTGTGTGTGCGGGAGATGGGCTGTCCTTCTCTTGCAGTGGTGCTCCAAGGGTCACTGCCGCTCGCTGGTGGAGCTGAGCCCTGTGGGGGCAGTGCACGGGCACTGGTCTGGCTGGGGTCCCCCCAGCCCTTGCTCCCGCTCCTGTGGAGGAGGTGTGGTGACCAGGAGGCGGCAGTGCAACAACCCCAGGTACGGCACAGAAGGGGCACCATTCTCCCTGTTAGGGAGGGTGGTCAGCCCCCCATTCCCTGGTTGGGTGGCAGTGGGTCCCCTCTCACCCCTTGTGTCTCATGGGCATTTTCAGACCTGCCTTTGGGGGGCGTGCATGCATCGGTGCTGAGCTCCAGGCTGAGATGTGCAACACCCAGGTAGGCCTGCTTCCCGGGCAGGGGCAGGGCCAGAGGGTCAGGTCAGCAGCCCTGGAGGGGCTGAAGGACCAGGCAGCTACAACTGTGGTTCACACCAGGGCACTTGTGAGAGTGAAGGGGGTGCTGCTAACACCTGCGCTGGGACCACAGTGCATACTCTAGGATGGTCCTACTGCTGACACAGCGATGCTGAAGTGTCCCACCTGCCTCCCTGCACTGCCCTCCACAGGGCCCGCGTGGGAGAGCGGGGCTGCACATCTCTGCCACGAGAACCCCCCGCCCCTCCTCCCCCGCAATACGGTCTTTACTGCAAAACCACGAGCTATTCTTTTAGTTATAAATTCAGGTGAAATTCACATAACGTAAAATCAACGGTTTTAAAGTGTGTGATTCAGTGGCATTTAGGACATTCACAATATTGTGTGCCCACCACCTCTATCTAGTTCCAAAACATTTCCATCACCCCTGAGTAAACCATGGACGCAGTAAGCATCACTCCCATGTCCCCTCCCCTTGGCCTCGGGCAACCACTAATCTACTTTCTGTCTCTATGGATTTGCCTATTCTGGACATTTCATATAAGCAGAATCATGCAATATGTGGCCTTTTGCATCTGGCTTCTTTCGCTCAGCATCATGTTTTGGAGGGTTGTCCGCATTGTAGCCTGTGTCGGTGCTCCATTCCTTTTTATGGCTGAGGAGCATTCCCTCGTGTGGATGGACCACACGTTGTTCAACCATCGTCCGTTGATGGACATTTGGGCTGTTTCCACCTTTTGGTTCTTGTGACTAGAGCGGCTATGAATCTGTGTGTACGTGGACTTGTTTCAGGCCTGCTTCAATTGTCTTGGGTATATACCTAAAAGTGGAATTGCTGGGCCACATGGTGATTCCATATTTGACTCTTTGAGGAGCCTCCAAACCATTTCCAGCAGCTGAGCCATTTGGCACCCTGACCCCCCGCCCAGCAGTGTGTGAGGGTTCCAGCTCCTCCACATCCTCTCTCACACTTGTCCGTGTTTTTGATCGTGGCCATCGTAGTGAAATGGCAGACTGATTCCTTTGACACTGAATTCAAATCTGCACGTGGTGAGACCTTCCCTCCCTGCCTTCTCCAGGCGGACACCCGAGAGTCTTCACCTGGGACTCAGGTCACAGGGGCGGGCTAGGGGGCAGGCACGGAGGGCAGCCGCGGTCCCCATCCCTGCTCAGCAGGTCCGTTCCGATTCTTTCCTCCTGGGCTGCAGTGCGAAGAGGCCAGGACGCCTGCACGCCTCAGCACTGCGGCTCTCGTGGCGAAGCCCTGTGCTCTCGGCTGCCTACCACCTTTCTAATCACCTGCCTCTAGAGGCACGTGCATGGTGAACACACGTCATCCATCTTGTTTTCTTAAGTCCGGGCCTTCGGGTTCCATGAGCGGTACTGTTGGCCCTGCTTTCCTCTTCGTTGCTGGGCGGTAGGCCCTGCCATGTATTCTTACAAATTCTCATGGAATGCTCCCACCAGCAGACAAAGGCTCTCGACACCCCACTTTACAGAGCAGGAACTGAGGTGCAGTCAGGAGGTCAACCCGTGTCTTGACCCTCACACTGCAGGGTGCCTGGCTGTCTCCCAGTGACAAGGGCCCTCAGTCCTGGGCCCCCACCCCTGGGGGTCCTCCTGTGCCTGTCCTCTGCCCCTTCCCGGCCAGGCCTGCGAGAAGACCCAGCTGGAGTTCATGTCAGAGCAGTGCGCTGAGACCAACGGGAAGCCACTGCAGCTCTCACCAGGCAGCACCTCCTTCTACCGCTGGGACGCTGCTGCACAGTACAGCCAAGGTGGGGCCTGGGGCGTGTGGTGGGGAGCCAGGCCCTGGAGACCCTTGGGTGGGGAGAGTCATTGGGGGCCGGCTCACCATCACTCCGATGCTGTTGAGAGCAGGCCTCAGGTTCGGGCTCTGCGTCAGACAGACTAGGGATCACTTCCTGATTCGGCCACTTGCTAGCAGATCTGAGTCTCGGTTTTCCCGTCTGTGAAATGGAGATAAGAGCAGGCTCTCCCTGTTCGGGTTGTGGGAAGGATTCAGTGCAATGATGCAGGGGAAGCCCCGAGTGTGCTCCTTGGCTCATAATTCAGTGACATTCATTACATCAGGATTATGATGACCACCTCAGGAGGCAGGACAGGTGGAAAATAGAAACCCTTGCCCCAAATGCAAAGGGTGAAGCTAGATGGCACTGGCACGGGGAGGGGCCACTTGGATCATGTTTGCAGGGTCACTGCCCTCCCTACTCCCTGCCACTCTCGAATCAGGGTCCCTTGTCCCTCTGCCTTCCCAGGGGATGCCCTGTGCAGACACATGTGCCGGGCTGTTGGCGAGAGCTTCATGGTGAGGCGTGGGGACAGTTTCCTGGACGGGACCCGGTGTGTGCCAAGTGGCTGGCGGGAGGATGGGACCCTGAGCCTGTGCGTGTCGGGCAGCTGCAGGGTAGGTGTGTATGGGCAGCGGAGGTGCCCTTCCATCCACTGTGGCCCTGAGGCCTGTCCCATCAGAAGCCAAGATGCAATGGGGCCTCCTGGGGGGTCTTTGGGTGCTGGCCCCCATGAAGCTGCAGCAGAGTCTGCATGGGGTTATGCCAGGACATAGGGCCGACTTTGGAGTTAGCTAGGGGTTAAGAGCTGTGCTGTGACCTTGGGCAAGTCATTTAAGCTTGTTACCTGCGTAGATATCAGACGCTGCAGAAATGCCCCCAGTTTGTTGTGTGAATTCACAGCTGTGGGTGACAGTGGGCCAGCACCCTCCAATGACATCCCCCGGTCTCATCTACCACTCCCCTTTGCACAGACGTTCGGCTGTGATGGCAGGATGGACTCCCAGCAGGTGCGAGACATGTGCCAGGTGTGTGGAGGAGACAACAGTACGTGCAGCAAACAGAGCGGCTCTTTCACGGCTGGAAGAGCCAGAGGTAGGGGCCTCCCTCGGGGTGGAGGGCTAGGCTCCCTCTAGCCTCCAAGAAACCCCGGCAGCCTAGAGCCTGGTTGCAGGGTGCCTGGGTCAGCAGGGCCTACGTGCTCGCTCAGCCCTGGGCCCTCAGATTTTGGGGCGGAGGCCGCCGTGGGGAGGGTGGTGCGGCGGTAACGGTTGCTCACTGTAGCCACGAGACAGACAAAATCTACAGCAGGCTGGCGTCTCCTCTTCTGCTTAAGGAATCCTCTCAGGAGGGGTGTTAAATTGGAAAATCTTTGACTTTGAAATACTTATAAGAAAGGTCAAGTCATTTGCAAAGTTGGTGCTTAGAGGGTCAGTTGAGGAGTTGAGTCCCGCCTCCTTCTGGTGGGCCCCACGCTGTGCTGAGAACCTTGGGTCCAGTGCCTTCCCCTGGCCAGAGCAGCGCCCTTCAGATGACCCTCCAGCCTGGCTTTGATTGCCCCCTGTGACGGGGGCTCACTGCTCCTTGAGGCAGCCCCAGTGCTTTGTGAGATTTCAGTGTTGAGGCCCCCGTTTTCTGTACAGCTGAAATCTGCTCCCTTTGGCTGGGATGTAGGTGACCTGAGACCACCCACCCTCCTCTTCTTCCTCCTAGAGTATGTCACCTTCCTGACGGTTACCCCCAACCTGACCAGTATATATGTCGCCAATCAGAGGCCTCTCTTCACGCACTTGGGTGAGTTGGCCAGAGGACGCCCACCCAGTGTTAGCCAAGCCGCAAAGGTTGAGGGCACAGTCCCCAAGATGACTTCACCTCTGACACCAACTGCAAGTTCGGGGTTTCCAAAACCACCATCAGTTAAATAATTCCCTAGGAGGACTCAGAACACTGAGAGCTGTTACACTCACCGTTATGGCTCATTACAGGGGGAGGAAACAGAATCAAACCAGCCTAAGGGCAGAGTCTGGGAGGGTTCCGTGTCCAGCATCGAAGCGTGACCACACTCATGGAGCATTGCCAATCCAGGGAGCTCACGCAGGTTCAGGGTCCAGTTTTTACTGGGGCTTCGTTACGTAGGCGTAACGGATGGATGGATGGATTGCTCACATGGATGATCTCAGTCTCGGCTTGACTGATGTCCCATGACCCAAAGCCCCCACCCTCAATCACATGTTTGGTCTTCCTGGTGTGGCCAGTCCCCACGCTAAACAAAGACACTCCTATCAGATGTGACACAGGTTCCCTCCCGGAAGCCGGAAGCCGAGGGCAAAGGCCAGGCCTATCTTTTGGCAAGGCCAGCTTCCTTACTACAGTGCCACAGTGGGTCTTTATTTCCAGAGGGCATCCACTCCTGACCTTTGCATCTGGAGTGGGGGGCTTACCCTGGGGTCCTCGAGCCCCTGGCCTTGCCTGTAGAGCTGGTGTGAGTGCACTTGGTAAAGGAAGCAGGTCCACGGCACTCACCAGGTTCCAGAAAGAGGTGCAGAGCCACCACATGGGAAAGCCTTCTGTGGTCAGATGTCTGTGTGCATCTGGAGGGTGCACCTTGCTCACTGCAGAGCCCACCCGACCGAGACAGCAGGAAGACCTGCTCCCCAGGGAGGAGAGGCATTTATGTGGAGGTGAAGATTACATCCTGCTGGCCTGTTGTCGCCTCCACCCTGTTCCTTAAACCAAGACCTCATCTGTGCAAGGGGGTGGCACCTGCCTTCTGAGGGTGGGAGGGGTGGTGCCCCACTCTGCTGATGGGCCTCACTCCCCCCACAGCAGTGAGGATCCAAGGGCGCTACGTTGTGGCTGGGAATTCGAGCATCTCTCTCAGCACCACCTACCCCTCCCTCCTGGAGGACAGCCGTGTCGAGTACAAAGTGACCCTCACTGCGGACCGGCTGCCCCGCCTGGAGGAGATCCGCATCCGGGGACCCACCCAGGAAGACATGGAGATCCAGGTGACCAGGAGGGCCTGGGGGAGCTGGCAGGGACTCCTACTGCTGTTCATCTGTCTACCCGTTCACACGCTCACTCACCCACTCAGCAGTCATGGGGGGGCCTGAGGAACCTGTGCTCAGAGCCCACAGGGGTCCCTGGAGCTCTGAGAATGCAGGGGTCAGGAGGCTTCCTCAGGAAAGGGGCGATGGGGCTGGGGTCTGAAATGAACTAATGCTGCTAGGCCAAGCAGGCAGGGAAGCGTGTAGAAGGAACAGTGCGTGCACAGGGGGAGAAATGAGGAGAGATAAGGAAGGAGACCCCCCCCCCGCCCCCCCGCCAGGCAGACCTCGAGGGACCTTGCTGGTCATGTGAGGAGTTTTGGATTCCTCCTGGGGGCTGCTGAGGGGCTCCATGCCAGGTAGAGTTGGGATGGGGCCTGTGTCAGGCCTGGCTGAAGGAGGAGGTAGGGAGCAAGACAGTGGGGGTAGCTGGTTGGGCTGACACCCAGATTAGAGACCCACCACGGGGGCAGTCCAGGAGCTGGAAGCAGGGTGATCTAGGGATCAAGAACACAGGCTAGGGACTCAGATGGACTGGAGTTCGAGTCTTGGCGCTGCAGGAACCTGGTCAAGAGACTTAACCTTTCTGAGCCTCAATTTCCCCATCTGCAAAACGGGACTAAGTATAGCTACATCATAAAGTTATTGTGAAGATTCATTGTTTTACAAGCAACGTACATTAAGTGCTTGGCAGAGTGTCTGGCGCCCTGTATATGAGCCATGAAAGGTGGCTGCTGCTACAAAAACCGAGTGCACGCTGGCTTGGATCTTGAAAGCCCCCAGAGGATTGGGGATGCCCCATCCTAATGGTGAGAAAGTTTGGGGACAAAGGAATGAGCACCATGAGGGCAGACCTGGAACCTGAATGTTCCCTCCCAGTGGTCACTCTCCTCCTGCAAGGATGCTAGGTTGCCCAGGTTCTCATGCTGACTCTGCCACTGACGGCTGTGTGTGTGTCCCTCTGCCTGCTCCCCGCGCCTCAGTCTCCACATCTGTAGAATGGGGATGGGATCGCAGTCCTTCTCCTAGGGTTCTGGGCAGGTTTCAGGAGTTGATGTGTGTGCTGTGCGGTGTTGGCAGTGGTCCCCGGCACAGAGGAAGCCCTGAGCCCTGAGCTCTTACTGTGTCTTTGGGACAGAGGTAAATGGGAACACAAGCAGGTGTTGTTGGGCGCATCCTCAGTGCTGTGATCTCGTTGGTCTGAGTCCCCATCTGTGCTTTGCTGAGGGAGGTGCTTGGACGGAAATTAGTGTAGGCTGAAATAGCCCTTGGGAACCCTTGGGGAGGGGCCCCAGTCTTGGTGGCCCCTGACTATGATCTAGCAGCTCTACCCTCTGCTGCCACAGCTAGGGGAGATAGCAGGGGCTCCCCTAGAAGGCCAGGCTGGGCCAGAGCAGGCCCCTCGTGAGCAGTTCACCCCTTCCCTGCCTGCCCATGTGGCCCAGTTCACCCACCTCCCCACCCCCAGGAGCACTGTTCCCAAATGCTGGCTGCCGGGCAGCTCCGTCGACATCCTTTGCAGTGTGAATAAAATACAGGTTCCTGGGCTCCTCTCAGAGCCACTGAATCAGGACCTGCCCTGGGGGGTGGGGGCTTGAGAATCCCCATTTTAACAGAGGACCGTGATGGGCGGCCAGATGTGGTGTCACGGGGCAGGTGCTGGGTGCCACTCACTGTGGGACCTCGGGGGCCTCCTCCTGGGCCCTGCCTTCCAGGCTGCCCCTCTCTGGGCTGGCCCTGGGCACAGGACCCAGTGACCCTCCAGAAGTACTGCCCTGCTGAACACCCTCCCTTAATGGCTGTACTCTCAGGGTCGAGCCCAGGCCGCCAGCCGGCCACAGGGACCCTGATCTGACCCCTTCCTGCCGACCCTCAGGCCTCATCTCTTGCTCCAGAAGCACGTGCTTTGCTGGCCTCACCCCCAGGCCCTTGTCTGGGTTCCTCTCTGCTGGAATTCCCCTTCTCCTACCTCTGCCCTTGCCCCCAGGAGCTCCTTCCTGACCTGCCCCACCCCTGGTCAACCTAGGAGCGCTTCTCTGCTCCCATCATACGCTGTGCAGGTTGCCATCCCTGCACTTACCAGGTACTTTAGAATTATCTGTCACCACCACCCCACCCCACCCACTGTGAGCTCCTGGAGGCTGGGGCAGTGTCCCGTTGGATGTGCTGTCCCCAGAACCTGGCATGGGATCAGCATCGCTGATTGCTTGCTGAGTGAAAGAGTATAGAGATGGAGGAATGAAAAGTTAAAGGCTTCCTGGGGTAGGTGGCCGTGACAGTGATCCTCAGGCAGCCCACTAGACAAAGCCCATGTCTCGTGCAGGTTTACAGGCGTTACGGCGAGGAGTATGGCGAGCTCACCCGCCCCGACATCACCTTCACCTACTTCCAGCCTAAGCAGCGGCAGGCCTGGGCGTGGGCCGCCGTGCGGGGGTCCTGCTCGGTGAGCTGTGGGGCAGGTGAGGCCCGGGGCAGGGCTCACCTAGAGCATGGTTTGCCCTCTGCGCGGAGATGATCTAGCCTCCCTCTTTCCTCCCAGGGCTGCGCTGGGTGACCTACAGCTGTCTGGACCAGGCCAGGAATGAGTGGGTGGAGGCTGCCTGGTGCAGAGGGAGCCGGCAGCCAGCGGCGTGGCCGGAGTCCTGTGCCCCTGAACCCTGCCCCCCATAGTGAGTGCCATCTGTGGCTCCAGGGTGGGGTCAGCGGTGGCCCCGGGGCTCTCACCCTGGCTTGGGGGGTCCTCATAGCATGGGCTAGGCAAGAGAGCTTATGGGAAACTGCGCTGTGAGGTGAGTTCTGTCGGTGTTCCCATTTTGCAGGTAAAGACACTGAGACTCAGGCAGACACGGGTGACAGTGTCAGCCCGGTGTGACCCCCCGCCCGCTGCACTTCGTCTGCGGGCAGCACTTGCCTTCTCTGAGCTCAGGTGGTCACTGCCGAGTGGAGATGACTGCCCTGCCTGGGGGTTGTGGGGAGACTCAGGGAGGTAGCGATGGAAAGCTGGCCGTCGCCGGCCCCTGGCAGGTGCGGTTGGTAGGAGAGTAACGTTAGGGACAAGGCCGTCCCTGTTGGGTTCAGGGTTGGGGCAGCCACTTACCAGCACTTTTGTACGGGTGTCCTCAAGCTCAGGTGCAGCCTGGGGACACCTGGAGAGCTGGAGGGCTGGGCTGGCTGTACCTGCACAGTGTCCAGGTACCTGAAGGGACACCAGGCCCGGCCCAGCCAGGGAATCGAGTCGCCTGCCTCCCACCCGGTCCCCCTAAGCCAGCCTGGGGACCGGGCCGGATGCCCCATGCTCTGTTCCTCTCCTCCTCAGCTGGGCAGCTGGAGACTTCGGCCCGTGCAGCGCCTCCTGCGGGGGAGGCCTGCAGGAGCGGGTAGTGCGCTGCGTGGAGGCCCAGGGCAGCCTTCTGAGGACGTTGCCCCCGGACCGGTGCAGAGCGCTGGCCCAGCAGCCAGCGGCGGTGGAAACCTGTAACGCCCAGCCCTGCCCTGCCAGGTGAGCACAGGGAGGGCGGGGCTTGCCCCAGGCCAGATCCAGGCAGTCTCCCTGGCAGGCCTTGTTCCTGCGCTGAGCCCTGCCCCTGCTGAGTGTCCCCTCTTCCCAAGGCCTCTGGCTGGGCCCCACAACCCTGGGTAACAGGCAGTGGTGGCCCAGAGTTATGACTGTCACTATACAGAGACCCTGGGCTGGCCATTTCCCTCTCTGAACTTTGGGGTGCCTGCTCAGGGAGGGGCTGAGGACCAAGTGCAGCCACGAATATAAAGCAATAAATGTCACTTTGTCATTACCGTTGTCGTTTCCACACTGCCTCCTGTCCCCTTAGTGTCCAAGCGGACAGTGGCTTAACGTTCTGATTTGCCACTGACTGGGTGACCAGGACAAGTCCCCTCCCCCTCTGGGCCCCAGTTTTGTTATCTGTCCAGTGGGGAGGGGGTTGGCCTAGGTCCCTGGTGGCCTGCATGTGGCTCTAGGCTCCTTTTCCCCTCTCGCATCCGTGGCATACATGGGAATCACCGCTTTTTCCCACTGCTGCCTGACCCTGCCTCAGAATCCTTCTCAACGCCACACTCCAGGCAGCCACCGCCTCTCAGAGTCGGCACACGCACGAAACCCATTTGCCGGCCATGACCTGGGTGGTCCGATGGCACCTGGCACCTGTTTCCCAGTGCCTGCTAGGTTGTGTGGGGCGAGGTCACTGTCTGGTTGGAGGGAGGGCAGGGGTCGGGGCTGTGTCACCACACCCTGGGTGCCGAGTGGAATGCCAGCAGCACTGGATCCGGAGCTTCAGGGGAAGGCCCCTGGGCTTGGCTCCTTTTGGGGACCCTCTTTGGGCTCTTGGATATTGGGGAGCAGGTTTGCTGCCTCCCTGCCCCAGGAGCTGGGCTGCACCCACAGCCCGATGGCACAGGCAGAAGGCTGTCCTTCGCCGTCCTCAGCAGGGAGGTGTCCGCTGTGCGCTCGACGGCCTGTGGAGCAGAACTGGCTGCGCAGAACGTGACGTGCACGCAGGGGGCAGATAACCTGGAGCTGCCGGTGACTGCTGGGCCCTGCTCACCAGACGAGAAGCTGCCGGCCCTCGAGTGCTGTGTGGCGATGACGTGTCCTCCCAGCTGGGGCCATGTGAGTGTGCTCGGTAGGAGGGAGGCTGGGGCTACTGGGTCCTCATCTGGCCGGGAGAATGAGGAGTACTGGTTACCTTTGGCCTCCCGGCCAGAGCGAGAAGACTGTGCTCCTGCAGGGCTGCTGTCCGCGAGATCCCTCTGGTCAGAGGACAAACCTCAAAATAGCTCTGGGCTTCTTGGGAAGCCCCCCTCCCACTGGCGAGCCAGGCCCTGTTCTCTGCTGTGCGGAGAAACGCCGCCATGCTCCCGCCTGGCGTCAGGGGCTTGAGTCTGGGTGGTGTTTTCAGGCAAGGGTGCTGGCCAGCCCTGTCCTCTGATGGCTGGTGGGGACTGCAGGGACGTGCATGCCTGCAAATCTGGCTCCTGAGCCCCAGCCCCCAGCCCCACCCCACAGTGACCAGTCACGCTGATGCAGAGGCCAAGGTGGGCGTGTGGTGGGGGCATCCGCTGGGTGCTCTCCTCCCCAGAAAGGAACAGCAGGGAGGAGCAGCCTTTGGGGTGCTGGTGACCTCTTCTGCTCTCTCCTGAAGGGATTGGGATGGGTGGAGGGGGAGGGCAGGTGCTCAGGGGTCGGGAGGTGGGAAGCCCAGACCCACCAGCTTGTTGCTTGCCCCCTGCAGCTGGACCCCCAGCCTCCCGGGGAGGAGGCTACATCCCCATCGGGCAGTGCCAGGCTGGAGGCTCACCCTGCACATGTGTGGACTCCCCTGGCGGGGCCGTGCTCCGTCTCCTGTGGTCGAGGTGAGGCCCCTGGCCCTTCTGAGTCCAGCTAGCTAACTCTCACTGCATTTTGCCCAGTTCTAGAAAGCATTTGAGGTGGCTTACAGAAAATCCAAATGACATAAGAACATGACATAATACACAAGGAGATTGGGGCAAGGTATGGACAGCCACATAAACGTGTTCACTGATTGGCTGAAAGATGGGAAAAGATCATAAAACCCAGCAATATTGGCACCCAGGAGTGAATTTCTTAAGGTTCAGAAAAGCTCTGAGAGAGGGGCCCCAAACTTAGCTCTGAGCATCCTGGTGGCCCAAGAGAAACAAAATTAATTTTAAGATACACAGTATTCCTAAACTAAAACCCTAACCACTTGCTCAGTAGAACCTCAGCATGTTTAGAATTGAGACTAGAGATTTCTTTTGAGGATACTCCTAAAGGAGAGAGGTAAGGAAACTGGCCCCAGTAACATCATGATAAACACAGTAAGAGATTTTCATATAGTAATTCTTATAACGCCTTTCAGTAAACAATAGCAGCTACCACTTGTTGGGTGCCTACCATGGGGCAGGCACTTTGTATCTCCCCTTTAAAAATCTTTATAAATATCCTTGCAAGTTAGGCACCATTAGATGAAAAACCCGAGGCTCAGAGAGGTTAAGTCACTTGTCCAAGGTCACACAGCTGGTAAGTGGCAGAGCCAAGACTCAAATCCATGTGGGCCTTATCTGTTAGAGCTCTCCAGAGAGCAGAGCACTTGCAGTCCCTGCTGAGCCCTCCTCTTGGGGCGCCGGGTCCCTGCTTCCTCCCTGCAGGCCTGATGGAGCTGCGTTTTGTGTGCATGGACTCTGCCCTCAGGATACCTGTCCGGGAAGAGCTGTGTGACCTGGCAAGCAAGCCTGGGAGCCGGCGGGAGGTCTGCCAGGCTGTCCCGTGCCCGGCTCGGTGAGTAGCGGGGAGGGAGACTGTGCAGAGGGGCAGCAGTCTCGGTCCCACAGGGAGGAAGGAGTCTTACCCTGGGGCGTGGCTTCCTTCTGAGCACTGGCTTTCCTTCCTGCAGGTGGGAGACCAGAGCCTTGGCACCGTGCCCAGTGACCTGCGGAGGTGGGCAGGTGCCGCTGGCTGTTCGCTGTGTGAGGCTGGACCACGGCCACTCAGTCCCCCTGCCTCACTCCAAGTGCTGGCCGGTGCCCCAGCCCAGCCCCTTCGAGGACTGCAGCCCGGAGCCCTGCCCTGCCAGGTGGGCCCCTTCCCAAGGGGACAGGCCGTCCTAGGCGTGCATCCTTGGGGGTGGCATTGTCACCTCCCTGTGAGCTCCTGACCCTCGGCATCCTCGGCTGCAGGAGTGGGTCATACTGGTGCCCCAGAATGCTGTGGGGGGTTAAAGCGTGGGAAGCGCATCACACGGGCTCTGGGATGCTGTGGGCGCACATGGTTGATGGTTCATTCCTCCATCACTTGCTCTCTACTGAGCGCCCACTAGGCCCAGCACTGCTCTGGCACTAGGGGATAAGACAGCAGTGAGCAAGATGGACAGGCACCTCTGCCCTCCTGGAGCAGACGCTAGGGGCAAAGGGGAGACGGACACTAGATAAGGCAGATGGGGAGATGTAGTCTGATGGATGGTGATTGCGCGATGTAGCAAACTCGAGGGAGGGAAGATTGGATGCTGGCAGGGACAGGGTCCGGGTGGAGGTGGGGCTGGGATTCCTATTAGAGACAGACGTCTTTGCAGGGCCCCTTGGGTGCCCCTCTCCTCCCCCCACTGCCTTTTGGACACATGCTCAAAGCTTCCCACATTGCCCTCAGCTTCCCTGTCTGTAAAATGGGCTCTTCTGACTGGTCTCTGCCCATGGGGCCAAGCTTCTCGGTGGAGATATAGGGGCGACCCCCAGAGACAGAACATCTCCAGGCCCTTCCCAGTCTGGGGAAATGAGGGGAAGCCCCGCTCCTCTGGGCTCCCCTGACTCGGGTTTCCCCAGGTGGCGGTACAAGCTGGCGGCCTGCAGTGTGAGCTGTGGGGGAGGGGTTGTGCGGAGGATCCTGTATTGTGCCCGGGCCCACGGGGAGGACAAGGACGAGGAAATCCTGCCGGACACCCAGTGCCAGGGGCTGCCTCGCCCCGAGCAGCAGGAGGCCTGCAGCCCGGAACCCTGCCCGCCCAGGTCAGCAGCCCCAAGATATCCAGGAGGCAGTCTGAGCTCCTGGTGTGTGCAGACGCCAGGCGAGGCACCGTGGGGGTTAACGGACGGCACGGTGGCACAGGAGACAGCCCTCAGGAAACAGAACTACGGGGCAGGCTGCCCTAGGTGTCAGAGGTGACGTTTCAGCAAAACGCAGGGAGCACTGTTGGTTCTAATGGGAGTGGGGGGCTGGGGTGGGCTGGGGGGCCTCACAGCAGGGGAGGCAGCTTTTGAGCAGCCTGAGAGTGGTCTCAGCTGGGGTACAGCACCGCCAAAGCCCACACAGGACAGAACAGGTCAAGCCTGTGGGGTCCGGAGACAGGATTGGAGTCCAAGGGGGAAGGGCAAATATTTACCTGCCTTGTTCTCAGTTTTTTCATGGTTTCTGTGTCATACAGAAAAGAAGGTAACAGACACCATGTCCCACCACCAGATTTCATAGGTCTTACCATATTGCCATGCTTCCTTCCTATCTGTCTCTTTGGTTTTAAAGAAATACACGATTATGGATAAGATTTCATTTAAATGAAGACCCTTACCTCATCTGTGATTTATTTGAGGTCTGTTGCAGAGTAGGGAGCAAACTTTATTTTTGCAGATCGTGAACCAGCAGCATTTGTGGAATTTCCCACAGATGCTCCTTTGCCATATGCGCACTCTTGTGTACGTTGGAGTCTATGTTGAGGAGTTCTATCAGGTCCTGTCGGTTTTTTCCCCCACCTATTCCCATCCCCATACCAAATTGTTTTAAATATTGTAGCTTTATGATCCATTTAGCATTCTTACCAAAGCATCTCTTGATTTCTTTGCTTCTGCTAAAGTCCCTTGGCCATGCACCCCATTTATTGTTCTACATCACATTTAGAGTTGATCTGGGATTTTTATGGGAATTTCACACACACATGAGCTCTGGCTACCCCTCGGACATTGCTGAAGCTACTTTGGCCTCTGATGTTCTGGAACATTCCAGGGATGCTCCTGACACAGGGCTTCTGCACCTACCTTCCTGCTCCCAGAGGACATGTGGCAACATCTGGAGACATTTTAAATGTCACGACTGGGGAGGGGGGACACTAGTGGCATCTAGTGGGTGGAGGCCAGGGGTGCTCTAAACATCCTACACTGCACAGAGGGCCCCCACGACAAAGAACCTTCTGGCCCCAAATGTCAGTCGTGCCAAACTGGATAAGCCTATATGCTCTGAGACGTTTCCCAGCGTCTAGAACAGCACCAGGCCCATGGAAGGCATGTGTTGAGAGGTGGTATCACAGGGTTGAAAGGGCGGCACAGTGTCGCGATTAGGACCCCAGGCTCCAGTGCAGGCTGCCTGGGTTCAGCCCTGGCTCATTATCACTTGTTGAATGATTACAAGTGACATGGGCATGATTGCCCCGTGTTGAGACCTTGTCCTGGGGCATCGTTCCCCATCCCTGTAACTCGGACCAATGAGTAGCTCCATGGGTGTCAATGGGTGTTATGTGATAAAGGCGACAGAGGGGGGCACCTTGTTAAGGGAAAAGAGACCTCTTTCCTGCAGAGCCTTCCTATGCCAGTGAGCCCTGTGACCAGACAGGAGGGGTTCAGGGGCTGCACTTCTGGATTTCAGCGGCCCTAGAACCTGTCCGGGCCGACCGTGCGAGGAGCCCACTGGGGCATGCTGTCTTTGGGGAGGCCCAGCCTCTCCTGGGGTCTTCTCTTCCTGCAGGTGGAAAGTCACATCCCTTGGCCCATGCTCAGCTAGCTGTGGTCTTGGCACCGCCACACGCTCGGTGGCCTGTGTGCAGCTGGACCAAGGCCGGGACGTGGAGGTGGCCGGGGTGGCCTGTTCAGGTCTGGTGCGGCCACAGGCCAGCATCCCCTGCGTTGTTGCCGACTGCACCTACCGGTGGCACGTCAGTACCTGGACGCCGGTAAGCGCTGCAGCTGGGGCCGGGGAGGCATCGGCTGAGGGTCCTCACGCATGGGACCCTGGGGGGCTTTGAGTCATTGTGATCCCCTGAAAGGAGGGGGAGAGCCGGGCCTGTTGGAGAGGGGGCAGTCAGGACACCTAGGGACAAAGACAACGCAAGGCCTAGAGACCTGGAGGGCAGCTGGGCCTTAAGAGGCCCGAGGTCTGGACACACCGGGAGATGAACAGCAGATCACTCAGTTCCACCCAGATTAGCAAATGCCATGCCATGCCCAGCACCTCACAAGGCCCCAGAAACAAAAAGCTAAAAAGGGCTGGGTCCCCCTCAGAGGAGCTCGCTCACCATGTGGAGGGAGAAGGAGCAAAGCAGGTAGCCGCTGCCCACCTCAGTCAGAAGGACCCGGGGCATCTGGGTCAGGCGGAGATGAGGGCTCCGACCAGGGCAGGAGGGCAGTGTGGAAGGAAGAGGCCATGCCGAGGGCTGCCTGTCCCTGCTCTAGGGTTGGGAGAGGCAGAGAGGCCTCGAGGGTGACAGTTAGAGACCTGGCTTGAATCCCTGCTCCTCCTCCCTATGTGATTTGTGCAAGGTAACCTCTCTGAGCCTCAGTCTCCTATCTGTAGAATGGAGACACATGCCTGCCTCCCGTGGTGTGCAAAGATTATCTCAGATCACACCTGGCCTGTGGTCACTGCTGTCCTTGTCACCCTCTGGCAGGTCAGCCCGACTCCTTCCCCTCTTTCCTGGCAGTGCTCTGTCTCCTGTGGGGGTGGCATCCAGCACCGGCATGATGCCTGCCTTGGACCCCAGGCCCAGGTGCCCGTGCCAGCTGACTTCTGCCAGCACTTGCCCAAGCCAGTGACGGTGCAGGGCTGCTGGGCTGGGCCCTGTGAAGGGCAGAGGACACCTAGCCCAGCGCCCAACAAGGAAGCCACTGCTCCAGGCCAGACCACAGCTGCCACTGCTGATGCTTCCCCGGAGCGGCCCCAGCCCCGGGCCCACCTCCTCTCCCCAGGCCCCTGGCCTCAGGGACTCCTGCCCGGGCCCCAGGAAAGCCCGGTGGAGTCCAGTTATGTTCCTTTCTCCTTTCTTTCTCAGCGGTGGGCTGGCTGCAGGAGGGGTAGACAAAGGCCTCTCCACCTGGGAGGGCTGGGAAGAGGTCCTTGTGGGGATCTCCTGGGAGTGGTCCTGAGGCAGGAGCTCTCAGGACGCTGGGATGGATGTATGCAACTGGGCTGAGGGGATGGGCTTGGGAGGCCGGGTTTGGGCTGGCCCTCCTCCTCACTGGCAAAGCATAAGCTCACTTTTATTATTGTCACGGGAAAGTAACCTGAAGGTCTCCCAGAGTCAGAACCCAGGTCTGTGTGACCCAAAGTTATGCACGACTGTACACACTGCCTCCCTCTCGCTGGAGCACCTGGAAGCAGCTCTGGCCTTGGATGGTGATGCTGTGACCCAGGCAGCCCCCTCCCCTGACCTCACAGGTCTTCTGGCTGGGCCTCGGAGGACTTCAGCTGCCCCGGCCTCCCAGGCTCCTTCCCCAGCAAGGAAAGCCCCAGGCCCTGCCCTGCTGGGAATGCCCCCACTGGAAGCTCTGCTCACTTGTGCTCCACTCCCTCTCCAGGTGCCTGTGGCCAGCAGTACCTTGAGCCAACAGGAACCATTGACATGCGAGGCCCAGGGCAGACTGACTGTGCGGTGGCCATCGGGCGGCCCCTGGGTGAGGTGGTGACCCTCTACGTCCTCGAGAGTTCCCTCAACTGCAGCGCTGGTATGTCTATGGCTCTGTGAGCAGCTGCTGCCAGTGACGGGGCCTGCCAGGTACCAGTGAGCGTGACTCTAGTGTGCCCCATTCCTGGCAGGATGCTCCAGGGGGACTCCCGCTTATAATCATCACGGCCATCTCATGACTGGGGTGCGATTGTCCTCATTCTACAGATGAGAAAACTAAGGCTAGGAGAGATTAAGTAACATGTCCAGTTACTCCCATATAGCCAGTAAGTGGGAGAGTCAGGACCCAGACTCAGCTCAGTCTACCCTAGAGCCTCCATGCTGCCCACCTGGACTGGGGGGTGCTGGACCCTCACTGCACTGCACTTCCCAGGGGAGATGCTGCTGCTCTGGGGGAGGCTCACGTGGAGGAAGACGTGCAGGAAGCTGGCCGGCATGACCTTCAGCTCCAAAGCCAACACGCTGGTGGTGAGGCAGAGGCGCGTGCGGCCAGGAGGAGGAGTGGTGCTGCAGTATTCCAGCCGGCCCGCCCTGGGAACCTTCCACAGAGGTACGGTGAGGCACAGGAGCCTGCCCTCCTCCCACAGGGTGGCCAGACAGTGCTGCTGCCAATGGGCCAGTCCCGACGTGGCGGAGGGCAGGCAGACTGGGAGCCGACTGAGAATAAAGAAGCCGTGCCTTCCCGGGTACCCCCAACACCCCTGCCCCAGGGTGGCCGGTGTCAGTCTGCGTGCGCAGTCAGGATGAGGGCCCGGGAAGTGTGCTGCAGTGAGACAGGTGGACGTGGGACTCCGGCCACATCCTCACCCCTCCCTTCAGGCCACCACAGCCCCGCGCCCTGGTACTCAGGTCCTTCAAGATCCTTTAAGGTCCTTCTGTGAGCCACGGTCTCCAGCCCTGTTCCAGGGCACTGTCCTCTTGGCTCATCATCTGCAGAACAGGGTGTGTGTGTGCACGCTTTCACATGCCTGCATGCACACGCACACCTCGTGTAGAGGATGGCATCCCAGAGACCCCTGTTTTGCCCCACCAGTGTCCTCAGATAGCCCTCTAGGTTGCTTCAGGGGGATTGCCCTCTCCCCAGCTGGCTGAAGGTGGCTTTCCCAGCCAGTTCCAGAGGTTTCCTGCTCCCCCCAGGCCTCTGAATAGTGGGACACTAGGGGGCTTCTTCCTCCACAGAGATTTGAGGCCGTCTCCCATGCCCCTCAGCGTGGAACTGGGCTGGTATCCCAGCGCACAGGTGCCCAGCGGTCAAGGGGCCGGCCGCCTTCTCATCGCTCCTCACTTCCCAGCCTCCCCACGTGCAGGAGCCTGCCTCGAGGGAGCTCCGCCCAGGAGGCGCAGGCAGGACGTGCTCCAGGGGGCTCCTGAAAATGGCAGTGGCCTTCGTGCCAGGCTCAGTGTTGAGCACTTTTGCACGTGTGGCTTTGTTGACTGCTCCTAAAAACTGCCCTGCCCAGCGTGTGCTCGTTACCTTCACTTTACAGAGGAGGGAACCGAACCTCAGAGCATTTAAAGCCTTCACCTGGGGTCACACAGCCGGGAAGTGGTAGAGGTGGGGTTCAGTGGGGGCTTCTGCCTGGGAGCCCCGATCTTGACCACAGTGCTGTACCGCCCCCCAGCTGTGAGCTACCCTGGCCTCTGGCATTAGTGGTCTTTCTGGGGGGCTCCTGTGTCCCTGAGGTGGTCCACACCCGGTCCATCCACCTGCTCTCCCCTGCAGATTGTGACATGCAGCTCTTTGGACCCCGGGGTGAAATCGTGAGCCCATCGATGAGTGCAGATGGGAGGAATGTGGGGGGCTGCCGTGTCTTTATCAACGTGGCTCCCCGGGCCCGGATTGCCATCCGTGCCCTGGCCACCGACGGGGGCAGCAGAACCGAGGGAGCTGATGCCAGCTACATCTTGGTGAGGCTACCAGGATGGGGACAGGAAGGGGCTGACTTTTGCTATGATTCTGGACCGCTGTCCTGGGAGACAGGGACCAGGGGTGCTGGGCTAGAGGACCCCCGGAGTTTACTTCAGACCAAAAGCCTCAAAATCATTAGTGAAAGAATGGGAGAAAAGAGTTTCCTCCACTTATTCACTACCAAATGTTTTTTGCGCTCCCTACGAGAGTGAAATAGAAAAGACCCTTCTGATGTAGACTGCCGGTTAACCCAGGGTGAAAGCATGATCTTAGACCCTGATGTAACTTCACCAGGAGAACAGGCCAACCCCTCCCCCCATGAGGTTTCCTGTGTTCCGGGAGAACTTCCTCTGCAAGGTATCAGCTTCCCTGGAGGATGCATTCTGGCCTCTGGAATCAGACAGACCTGGGCTCAAATCCCAGCTCTGCCACACTGGCTGTGTATCTTTGGGGAAGTGGTACAACTTCTCTGAGCCTCAGTTTCCTGGGTAGAATAATAGTGTCTTCCTGATAGGGCTGTTTTGTGGGGATTAAATGTGAGCCTCAGTGCATGATACCTTGTATATTCAGGGCTCCATGAATGCTAGCTAATAATCATATGTGGCCGGTCCTTTGGGGCTGCCCCTTTCCTCCCAGATCCGGGACATCCACAGCCTGAGGACGACGACGTTCCGTGGGCAACAGGCGCTCTACTGGGAGTCAGAGGGCAGCCAAGCCGAGATGGAGTTCAGCCAGGGCTTCCTGGAGGCACAGGCCAGCCTGCGGGGCCAGTACTGGACCCTCCGACCTGGAGCTCAGAAGCCCGGCAGGACCCTGCCCTAGCTTCCTCTCCAAGCGCATCCCTCAGTTGACGCGAGGGCGCGGTGGGGTGCCTTCTCCCAAGCCTGGAAGGGAAGGAAGGAATCTGACATTTATGAGCGCCTGTTAGGTGCCTGGCCAGCCCTGGAGGGTTGACTCTGGTCTCTGAGTGCTTTCCAATTTGAATTCCCTCCAATCTTAAGTATTTCCTCTAGGGCCTCCTCCAACGGGCAAAAGGCTGGGAGGTAGAAGGGGGGACTCTCCAGAAAGGCAGCCCCCAGCCCCTCGGGTACCAATAAACGGAACATGCGGTCTGAGTAGCGTTTTCCTCACATAACCTGTCAAATCTGCCTTGAAAACCCACCCCACGGCATGGCGGGGATTTCCTGGCCGCGGTCGGGCTCCAGACCCATTTCTGACCTGACCAAGCCCCTCGCCACCCCTAGAGGTCGTCTTCCTATCTGGGACAAGGAGAGGCGAGGGCGTGTGGAGTTACGATTGCGCCCTGATACTGGCGCACCTGTTAATTCTCTGCGAAGCCCCGCCCCTATACCTGTCCGGGTGGGAGGATTTGACCACCTGGGAGTCCTGCTCCGCCAGGACCCGCCCCCTATGCTAATGAGCGCAAGCCCTACGGGGTACCTCCGCACAGCCCCGCGAGCCCCGCCTCTATGCTAATGAGCGCGAGCCCTACGGGTGCACCTCGGCACAGCCCCGCGAGCCCCGCCCCTATGCTAGTGAGCACGAACCTCGGGCACGCCTCTTGGCGGCCCAGCAAGCTCCGCCCCTATGCTAATAAGCGCGACCCCTGCGGGCGTATCTCGTTGCGGCCCCACACCCTATGCTAATGAGCCCGAGCCTCCTCGGGCGCACCTCTTGGAGAACCAGCAAGCCCCGCCCCTATGTTAATGAGCACGAGCCACCTCGGGCACACCTCACTGGGCCCCGCAAGCCCCGCCCCTGCGCTAACGAGCGGCCGCCTCTCCCACAAGGCAGCGCGCAGGGCCGACGCGGCCGGCTCCGGAGCCCTTTGTGAGGGTGCCGGGCAGCGCCGGACAGCGGCACCATGAGCGGCTCGGCCGGGGCGGCGGCGGCGTCCGTCAGCTCCACGCAGCCCGCGCAGGAGGAGGGCATGACGTGGTGGTACCGCTGGCTGTGTCGCCTGTCGGGGGTGCTGGGGGCCGTCTGTGAGTACCCGGCCCAGGGGAGGGGCGGCCCCGCCGCCTGCCGCGCATGCGCGCCCGGCCCCGCCCCTGCCGCGGCCCCCCGCGGGAGGGGGACCGGGGGAAAGGATCCAGGGGAAGGGGTCCCACGGGGAGGGACCCGGGGGCAGGAGCCGGCGGGGAGGTGACCCGCGGGGAGAGACCCCCGGGAAGGGACCCGTGTGGGACCGGGGTGCGCGGCGGGCGCCCCTGCGGTGGTTGTGGTCGCCGGCCCGCAGCCTGGGCTCCTGGTTCTGGGGCTGGGCTGGCGGCTCTGGGGACGTTCCAGGAGGGAACATGAACGTCCGCGGGGAGCGCTGCACTCGACACGGCCCAGTCACTGCCGCTGCGCGCCTCCTCCGGGCGTAAGGACAGTGCGGCACCTCCTCCAGGGCTTTCCGGGATTGCTCAGATGCTGCCTGTAAGGCGCCGGCTCGGCCTGGGGAGGCAGCTCGCCTGTTGACTTGGGCGTGGATGGGGGCTGCAGCCGCCTTAACCTTTGGGCCGAGGTTGTTTACAAGTGGGGCGGGTGCAGGTCTGGTCAAATTTCCTGAGGATCGGGTGGTGCCAGGGGACAGGTGGTCCCCGAGGGAGGGCCGGGCAGTGAGCTGAGGGAGGTGGCCTCTCCTCTGGGTCCTCACTGTCCACTTGGAGGCCAGTGTGTTCTCTCTGCTGTCAGCTCTCCCTTCTGCTGTCAGCTCTGCCCCAGCCATGTCTCATCTTCCCGTCTTCTACCTCCCAACCCCATCCTGGACACACACCCGGACCTCAAGTTTCCTGGGAAGCCAGGCTCTTTTAGCACAAGCCCCCAAAAGGACATAAATGGGAAGGCAGATCTGCTACGTAAGTAAAGTAATGATCATATGGCAGGCCTCCCAAAAACAAACCTAAGTTTGTTTGAACGGCTTTCTCTCTCCTTCCTGCTGCCCTCAACACTGCGAATTACTGGAGTGGCAGAGGCCACAGCGGGAGGTCTTAGAAAGGGCATGTCTGTCGGGGAAGTCTTGGGGATTGAGCAGTGTCTGCCTGGCACAGAGCGCTGAGGCCAGGGTAGGGCAGACCTGATCAGATCTGCCAGAAGTATCACCTTTTCAGGGTCCCCTTCCAAGCCCACAGTCCTCCTAGGTGGGTGGAGGCTGGAAGAAGTTCAGGCGGGACTGCAGAATTAGGAGTGTGCTGTTCTGGCAGAGCACACTTTTATCCAGAGTTGATAATGGGACAGGCCCTCCAGTCACAAAATGCCCTGAGTCCCTGTCACTGCTGTCCAGAGAAAGCACGTTTTTGACTTTGTGGAGAGACTGGTGGCTCGAGGTCAGGCTGTAGATGTGATCCTCTCCAGTTTGGTTGGCTGTTTCCCTGCAGATCAGAGTGGGGGTGCTGTGGGGAGGGACAGTGGTCAGTGGGAGAAAGGAAAGGTCCTGACTGTGGCCCATGGGCCCTCCCCCTCCCCCCATCTTGGAGTCAGCGGCCCTGCCGACTCCCTGGTTAACCCTGGTGTCCCATCCGGTTCTGTGCCTCTCAGAGTGGGGCGCCTGGGCTGCCCCAGGAGTTCATGGTGTTGGGACTACAGATGAAGCTTCACGAGAGACTTGTGGCGTCGGTGTCACCTGCAGATTTGGGGGAGTGATTGTTATGTGGGTACCACATAGTATGTTACAGGGTGAAGGCAAAGCACACGGGAGTGTTAGAGATGAAACGGGAGTTCAGATGAGGGTTGTGCTTCTGGCCTGTCACTTTGGGAGTAGTGTCACCCTCCTCTGTGGTGGGGGGCCTCGGAGAGGCATTTACTCTGGGTCCTAACAGTCATGTGGAGGCAATAGCTTGGGAGGAGAGAGGATTGCATGGGACACATCCCTCAGCTCGAGCATTGGGGACCCCGAGGGGACATCCTCCAGCTCTCGATTGTTAAGGGACTTCTGGCTGGAGCCTGTTTGGGTTGAAATGTGGTCCCACCACAAGGCTGGCTGTTGGTAGGACAGTGGGGGTCAGGTGGGAGTTGGAGGTGAAATGCTGACTGCAGCAGGAGGTGTAGGCCAGCTGTCAGGTGAGACGGCGCAACCCACAGGCAGGCAGAAGTGGTATCATCTCGTGGACACTTACATCTGTGGCCCTGGGGAACCTTGCTGCCCGAGTGCGTATGTGACGTGCCAGGACAAGTGCCGCCTTTTTAGTAGGCAGAAAGCATGTCTGTGGTTTAAGGAGACCTTGGGGGGCGCCCGAGGGCAGTCCCATTGCGGTGGGCTCACTTCCTCTGGTTTCCTCCTCCATTGCTGCTATTTGCTTGGGTTACACGGGAAAACAGCAGGAGAATCCAGGCCGTACCGAGGATCAGGTGCAGAGGAGCTGCTGCAAGTTTAATGAACTGGTTGCTAATTGCTGCCTCAGAGGCTCCAGCTTCCTGCCTTGCCCCAGCCATGGCCTAGGCTTGCTTCCTGCCCAGCAGCCAGCTCTCTGGACCTGCCTGGCAGGCTCCCAGAGTTCTTGGTGAAGCCAGGCTGTGGGTAGAGGAAGGATGTGAGTGTGGCAGACCCTGCCCGTGGGAGCAGTGGGGAGGGGTGGGCAAGGCTCCACATTTGGGGTATAGGAGAAGCCACTTTGAGGGGTAGAAGAGGATGTGTCCCTCGTGGTTGTGGCCCCTTGGTATTTTAGGGTAGGTGGGCTGGGCTGTGGGCCTTACCTGTGTGCAGGAGAGAAAACAGGCCTAGAAAGGTGGAGAGAACATACCCAAGGTCCCTCGGCAGGTGTGGGAGTCAGCTGGAATTGTGACCCAGGTCTACCCGGTCCCGATTTCTGTTCTGAGAGAGGCAGCCCTTTCCCAACCCAAGTTCAAGCCATGTTTCCCGAGTTAGAGGACTCCTGTGAATGGTGATGCCTGGCCTGGCCTGAGCCCTTCGGAGACATTCTCTCTTTTATCCTAACCACCTTGCAAGGTGGGTATTGGTACAGCAGGGGCTCTGAGGGTGGCTCTCCAAGCCCTGGAGTAGAGAGAGGGTGACAGGCCCTCTCAGCTGCTGGGCCGAGCTCTGAGATCCAGCCGCACTCTTGCTGTGGGGCAGGGGGCCACCGCTTCACCTGAGTCTGTCTTCTCACCTGTGACAGGGAGCAGTTGTGTCAGCCTTACTTGTCTCAGATGGCGGGGGACGCTTCTGGGTGCTGTGGAAGAACCAGATGCTGGCTGTCGGCAGGAACTTGCATGGTTTCACAAGCCGTCTCCCCAGGTGGCCTTCCCAGCAGCCTGTGTCCCGCCCTCCCTGCTAATTCCTGCCGTGTCTCTTGCTTTCAAGCTTGCGCCATCTCCGGCCTATTCAACTGCATCACCATCCACCCTCTGAACATCGCGGCCGGCGTGTGGATGATGTGAGTAGCCACGTGACTGTCCTGCCTGGTGGGCTGGGGGCACGTGGATCTCTGGCTGCCGTGCAGATCTTCACCTCCTTCCTACCCCACTGTGTTCACTTTTCCTCATCCTCATTAGGGCCGTGGCCAGGGGAGCACCACCCAGGCCTTTATTGGGTGTGGGGCTGAGACCACAAATGTTTCCTGAGTATCTACTGAGTCTACTACCACGGGCCTCGCCTCTGCGAGCTCCTGGGGCCATCCGGGCCGGCCAAGGACGGAGTTGGAGGGACGGTGTCTGATAGGGTTGGAGTCGGGTGCTGAGATCAGGAGATCCAGCTCGGAGGTGGGCAGGCAGTGCCGACCACACACAGGGCAGGGCAGAGTTGGTGTGGGATCAGGCAGTGAGAATGCCCTAGATGAGTTCCCTGCCCACCTCGTGCCAGGGCAGCTCGATCCTTTTGGAAGGGAAGGGGGGTGAGAATGGGCCAGTGCAGCTGTGGCTACATCTACCCCCCTGAGGCCTGTGAGAAGTGGCCGTGCACCAAACATTGTCTGTGTCCGTGTGGGGCTTGGTCTGGGAGGGGCACAGAGAGGGACAAGAGGCCATCCAGCCCTCAGAGAACTCAGGCCAGGGGTGAGGCTTCGAGGCCTGCTGTGGGCACAGAGCCCTATGCTGGCCAGAGGCAGTAGGGACGGGGATCACAGGGGAGAGGCACTGGACCTGGGCTTCGGGGGGCAGCATCAGGAGACTGGCCGGCTTAGATGTGGAAGGATTGGCTGAGCATGAGCGAGTGTCGCGTTGGGAGGACTGGCCCCTGAGGGTCACTAGATGCTGGCGGTGTGCGGGAGGCCTGGGGGCAGCGTTAGTTGTGCAGAGAGTTCCTGCTCTGGGGTGCGAGTGGATTCTTGGGGCGCCCTGAGCCTGCGTTTTAGTCAGACAAGGTGATGAGGGCACTTTCCCCCAGGCTTGGGGGTGGATGGAAGGGCCCTGCAGGCTGTAAGGGCCCAGTGTCCAGTAACTGCGACTCTTACCCAGTCACGGAGAACACAAGGACTGGAGCAGGCACCCTCAGTCAGCCTGGGCTTGGCTGGCCCCAGCCCCAGCAGGGGGGCTGCACTAAAGCGCTTACTGAGTTCCCTCCTCCTGGCGCGGCGGGCTGCCTGAGGGCAGGGCTGTGTCAGCCCTCAGCGACTGTTTGTGGACTGACTGAGCGGCCCTGGGGACAGCTTTCTCAGCACTGATGGTGACGTGGTGATGATAGCAATAATGCTGACAGTCGACAGAGCTGCGGGCCAGCTCTCTGCAGAATGCTCCGCGTGGAGGAACTTGGCTCCTGCTCACAGCAGTGCCGTGCAGTGCCTCGATGCAGGGGGTCTTGTTTCCCCCTTCACAGACGAGAGCGATAAAGTTCAATAAGGGAGACTGCTGTGTGGGGAGCAGCCGGGGAGTGGTGACGTGTTCAGCTGGTTTGTTCGGCAGAGGCTCTGAGAGGGAGAAACGGGTGTCCTGGAGAGGAGGGGCGGGGTGAGGAGGGAGGAGTGGCATTCTGGTAGTGCTGGTGCCCGGAACTGCGCCTTCCCCCAGGATTGTCAGCCTGCCGTCTTCTCTCCCTTGCCCCTCCAGCATGAACGCCTTCATCCTGCTGCTCTGTGAGGCGCCCTTCTGCTGCCAGTTCGTCGAGTTCGCAAACATGGTAGCAGAGAAGGTGGACCGGCTGCGCTCCTGGCAGAAGGCTGTCTTCTACTGCGGGTGAGGGGCCTCTGGGGCAGGGCTGGGGTGGCTAGGAGGTCTCACCCTCGAGGGCCCCTGACAGGGTTCCCCAAAACACTACTGCCTCTGTGACCCGAAGGGCACGCGACGGTGTTGGCGAGGGTGAGGGGACACAGGTGCATTCCTGTACTCTCGGTTGAGGTTTAAACTGGAGTGGCCTTTGTGCAGAGCTACTGATGATAGCTGCTACACGTGTGAGCCAGTGATTCTGCATCTGGGAATTTACCCACAGCCCAGTCCTACAGGATGCAGACAGGAGATGTAGATGCCTTGCAGCATTGTGTGTACAGAGAGAAATGACCAACACCTGGAACTTTGGCCCATCAGTTGGGAGTCTTTAAACAGATTCTGGTAGATCCATATGATGTGTTTCTGTGCAGCCTTTCAAGAGTGCGGTCAGCCTTTCAAGAGTGCGGTCAGTCGTGTCAGGATTTCCTGACATGAAAGGGAAAAGAGCGCAAGTCGCAGAACAGAAAATATTGCCTTCCAAATATGCTTTTCTCTTATTTTCCTATTTCTAACAACAAATTCAATATGTAGTACTTCATATCTGAGTTATGAGATTGAACTAATTCAGGATGTGTTTAATACAAGGAAGCTTCTAGAACAGTGCCTGGAGCATAGGAGGCCCTCAACAGCTTCTGGCAGCAGCAACAATAGTTATCATTATCCAGATGATCTTTAGAAAAAAATACGGAGGTTTTTATTTCCAAGGTCTTCCCTTCTGGAGGCCCAGTAGTTTTGACATCAGACCACAAGCTGCGTGCTCAGGGCCTGAGCCCTTACCACTGTGTCTAAATCACAGAGGAAGGCCGGATCACAAGAGGTCACACATCATTGCATCCTTGCTCTTGCTTTTTCAAAAATGTACTTTTGAAATGCTAACAGTAATATATGTTCATTAAAAATAATTTGGAAAATAGAAGATTCTTACCCAAACCCCACTACCTGTTAACATTTTGATATGTGTCCTTTCAGTCTGTCCTCAGGCATTTTTTAAAACCTGTTTCTTACACAGTTATAACCATTATAAGTAAATTTGTATCCTGCTTTTTTTCCACTTAATGTCATGATATAAACATTTTCAGTATCACCACAAAGACTTTGTAAGATTATTTGTAATGTTAGGAATATTTATTCCACTGGATATGTCATGCTTTTCTTAATTTGTAAACTGCTGTAAATCAAGCTGTGATGAACAGCTATGTGATGAACAGCTATGTGCTGAAACTTTTTCTGTGTTTATGATGATCCTCTTGAGGCTATATTTCCAGGTGTGGAATTATAAGGTCGGAGATTACGATCATTTACAAGATTTCAATGCGGGACTAAATTGCTTTCCAGAGAGGTTATCTGAGTCTCTCTCCCTCTCCATCGTCCTGAGCTGGGTACCATTTTCACATCTGTATCTGTATCTAAGAGGTGAAATAATTTTCCATGTTTTTTACCAATTGCATTTTCTCTTTTGAAAATGGTCTAGTTTACTCATTACCTATTGGCATTTTAATGTTTACTTAGCAAGTTATATGTGTTTTTCATAATAATGATTTCTTAATCCTTTGTTATATTTCCTGCAAATATTTTTGCAGCCAGTTGTTTGCCTTTAATTTTGTTTTGACAGACCTGTGGTCTTTTTTTGTTTTCTTTGTAGTTTTTATTATTCTTTTATTCCTTAGACATTTATAGCTGCAGTACAACCTCATGGTCACGTGTCCTTCCAGAATGGAAAGCCGGGGAGGACTCAGTTGGTCGAGCCCCATTCTCCTCCCCTCTGCAGCCAAATGGCTGCAGGCTCAGTCTTAGCTTCTTTGCGTACAGGGTTTGTGTGGGCAGGCTGAGGCCGGTGGGGAGCATGGGCAGCCTCGTCCAGGGACGTGACAGGACAGTGTGCTGGTCCTCCATTCGCTCGTATTTTCCTGGCCTAGTTGACCCGGAGTCACTGCCACTGGGCTGGAAATCCCAACTAGGATCCAGAGTCAGCCCCCTGGATTCCTTTTTTTTGAGGAAGATCAGCCCTGAGCTAAGATCCATGCTAATCCTCCTCTTTTTGCTGAGGAAGACCGGCACTGAGCTAACATCTATAGCTAATCCTCCTCCTCTCTTTTTTTTTCCCCCCCAAAGCCCCAGTAGATAGTTGTATGTCATAGTTGCACATCCTTCTAGTTGCTGTACGTGGGACGCGGCCTCAGCATGGCCAGAGAAGCGGTGCGTCGGTGTGCGCTCAGGATCTGAACCCGGGCCACCAATAGCTGAGCGCGCGCACTTAACCGCTAAGCCACGGGGCTGGCCCTAGCCCCCTGGATTCTTAAGCCAGAGTGGACACCTGCCACCAGGTGGCGCCAAACCGCAGTTGGGACAAGACAGCTGGGGCTGCCTATGAGCCAGTTAGCTGCTCCTGGCATGAACCCCGCAGTGAGGAGGCCTGGTGTCTAGTGCAGTTTGATCTTTGGATTTTCCGTATTGACATATGGCTGGTTTTACTGTGCTAATAAGGGCTAACAGTTACTTAGTGCTTATGCTGTTGCAGGCAGTGTGTGAATTAGTAATGTGCCTTACCTCGTTCAGTCTCAAAACCTCTGAGGTTTGATCCTCACTTTACAGTGGAGAGACTGGGTCTCAGAGAAGTTAAGTAACTTGCCCACAGTCACAGAGCTATAAGGGACTGAACTGACACTAGGTGTTCTGGTCTGCCTATTTTTATGAACAGTGAGGGGTTGGACCATCTTAGTGCTGTTGAACGCTTTGGATGACAGACCCTTTCAAAAATCTAACACAAGCTTTGGGTCCCCTCCCCAGAAAATGCACAGAATTTTACAGATAAGTTCAGGGTTGCCTGAGGACTTTCTCCAGCTGGCTGTGAACCTGTGTCTGGCTGATTTCTGGGGATCCTTCCTGGACCTGGCTGTCTGGGAAGGGAGCTGGGTGAATCTGGGAAGCCTGGAAGTGGTATGGTGGCCACGGGGTGGGAGTGCCCCCTTGACCTCTGCTTCCCCCCTAGGATGGCAGCTGTTCCTGTCGTCATCAGCCTGACCCTGACCACGCTGCTGGGCAACGCCATCGCCTTTGCCACCGGAGTGCTGTACGGACTCTCTGCTCTGGGCAAAAAGTGCGTTTGTGGGTCCCAGCCCCCAGGAGGGATCTTTACTTCTGCCTCGTGAAGTCTCTCAGTGAGGAAGGTCTGAGAGCGGCCCCTGTATCCACTTGTGGAAACTGAGGCCCAGAGACTGTCAGTGACTGGTCAGTGTCTCCAGGGTGTTGAGCTCTAGGGAACGAGACCAGGAGCATTTGTGAAACTTCCCGGCAGTCCAGTTGTGCCTTGTGCCAGCCTGTAGCAGGGATGGCGGGTGTGGCTCTGAGAGCTCTTCCCATCCAGGGCCCACACCTGTCACTGCAGTCAGCTGCCACCCTCTCTCGCAGAGCCTGGACTGAGACTCTCCGTCTCCACCCAGCATCCCAGGCAGATGTGTTTCTGCCATCCTAGCAGTAGGGTCTCTGTCTGGAGAAACCAGAAGACACAGCAGGGTCTCCCTGTGTCATAGGCCAGGAATTGGGTGGTGTCTGGGAGGGCTGTGTGCCTGGGGTCTGTCCCCTGTGTGACACTGAGTCACTCTCTCCCTAGGGGCGACGCAATCTCCTATGCCAGGATCCAGCAGCAGAAGCAGCAGGCGGATGAGGAGAAGCTCACGGACACCCTGGAGGGGGAGCTGTGATGTGGGTTGGGGTGACCCTCCCCTCCCTGCTCACCTCTCTGGCTCTGTGTGAGCATGTGCTGGAGGGACGAGGCCTGGAGCGTTGACCTTGAAGGACAGCCTGGAAGAGGAGCCTCTGTCTGGCTCCCGTCAGCCCCTCTGCCCCAGTCCCTGACCTGGAGGCCTCCTGTCTGCCCTCTCTTCAGATTGGTGTCTCCTGGTTCTGAGCCGGGTGCTGAGGGGCTGGGGTGAGGGCTCTGAGGGCCTTGGCCAGCAGAAAGATCAGCGTGGTGGCAGACAGTGTGAGCCTCGGGGGTGACCCAGGCCACAAGACTTGAGGCAGAGCAGAGCCTGCAGTAGCTCTGCCCAGACAGCCCACCTGGCCCCATGCCTCCCAGCTGGCCTGGCTCGGCCGGAAACAGGCTGCTGGGAGGATTTCGACTTACACAGCTGGGAGAACCACTGGGACCTGCTGAAGGCCTGGGAGGAGCTTCCCCTGGAGATGTTGGTCCTGTCTGGAAGTGGGAGACACGTCATCCAGGCCTGGGCATCGGCCAGAGAGAGCCTCCTCTCAGCTCTGCAGGCAGGAGAGCATCCTGTAGGCTGAGCCATCTGGGCCTGCCTCTGTCCACCGGTCATCAGGGCAGAGCAGTGTCCTGCCCATGGCTTCCCACCACTGCCCAGCACCCTCCCTGCCCCTCTGTTCTCTGTGAGAGCCCACAGCACTGCCAGGATGTTCCTTGAGTACCCGGAACAGCAGCCGTGGCAGAAGCTGGACAGCTGGCTGGGGACTGCTGCCTCCCCCAGTTCCCCGGAACCTTGGATAGGCCATTCCAGGAGATTCCCATGGGCCTGGCCCCCACCGCCCCCTCCAGGCCCTGGTGCTAAGGAAGAGGGGAGGGCAGGCTCCCCCCCGCCCTGTGGGGCTGCCTCTCCACCTCTCTGGTGTGGTCCTGCTCTGTCAGCGGCGGCCCAAGCCCAGTTAGTAAGGGATGTGCTTGACCCATCTCCGGTATTCCTGCCAGCCTGCCCCCAACCCTGCCCTTGGGGAGCTGCCTGCCTTTTGAGAGCTGGGCAGAGGCCAGAGCCACCTCCCCCACCGTGAGCTGTCCCCACTGCTGTGGGAGCCAGGCCTGTGTGGAAGCAGCCCTGCCTGGGCCGTGCACCATCGCCTCCCCCAGCCTCCCTCCACGCCACCATCCCTTCCTTCCAGCTTGTCCACGTCCTTCCACGTCAGCCCATGGGCCACTCTGCCGACTGGCCCTCAGCTGTTAGGTGTCTCCCATGGGACCTGGCCAAGCCTGGGCAGCAATGGGCTGGTGTGGAGAATGCTCCATGCAGGGCTCAGCTCCCACTCCTCCTCCCAGGGCCCCAGGCTGGGCCTGCTCCGAGCTCCCAGAGCTCAGGGGCCCGTCTTTTGGTGTGGAAACTGCTCCAGGGCTGTGCCCAGGTCTTCCCTTCCCAGAGGGACCTTTCACCTTGGGGGCTAGTTAGCATCTGAGGCTGGGAGCGGCAGGTACTGTCCTGAGGACATGTCAGTGGGCTCCTGGCCAGCAGCAGCCCTCCAGGGAGCCCGACCAGGCTGAGCCACAGGTGGCAGGAGCGCCGCAGTATGGCCGGCATGGTGGGACACGTGCCTTCAGGGGTCCTCTGGGGCCACCTTCCTCAGGCGTGCTTGGTTCAAAGGGCTGTGGGCTCTGGGCCTCTCCAGGCCGGTGGGGTGTGTGCGTGTGTCTTGTCTGTGTGCCGTGAATAAGACCTGTCTACCTCCCAGGAGGAGCAAGGGCCCTGCCCGACCCTCTTGGCTCATTCTTATCTAGGAAGTGGGGCTCAGGGTCACTTCTGCCCAGCCCTTCTGCCCCTGCCACATGGGCCTCGCTGACGGGGTTTCCTCGCTGCAGGAGAGGGGGTGGCTGTGTGTCGACGAAGGTTGCACCTCTGTGGAAGTTGGCTGGGTGTTGGGCGGGCCCTACAGTGGGACACAGAGGTGGAAGGACCCTCCACCCCCTTGGTCACAGGCCAGAGCGGGCAGGTGAGTTGCCTGAGTTCCCAGTGAGAGCAGCTGAGCAGTCCTGAGCTGGGACCCTGTCTCCCAGGAGGAGGTCCTGGCTTGCGCGGAATGTCCGTCCAGGTGGTGGAGGGAGCTGAGCCAGTCAGGCTGCTAGGGCCCACCCCTACCATCGTGGGTCGGACTCGGTCCTGTGTTCCTTGTTCCCTCTGTTTAGCGTATGTTTTGAGCAATAAAGCCTGGCGGTAGTTTCTATGCTCCCTCGTGTTCTCTGCCTGGTACCTTCTTTCTGCCTCCCTGGGCACGGGTCGAGGGGTGGCCATACGGGGGACCCCGCCTAGGGCAGCAGGCCCTGGTGACCTCGGCTGAGGATTTGGGTCTAGCGTGGCTCCCCCACCTAGAATAGACCCCACTCCCTTCCTCTCTAGGACTGCAGGCCTGATTTTATTGTTTTTATAAATAGGGTGAACATGGTTTGCAGACAGGAGCGCTCGAGAGCCTCCTGTTCCCAGAGGTCGGGCGAGTGCAAGCAGCAGCTCTGTGCTGGGTTCTGTGGCCAGGCCTGTAGAGGCTGGAATGTTTCCTGTGGTGTCCACGAGCCCTCACAGGTGCAGATCTGTCTTCCTCCCCACAGTCAAAATGCTCACTGTTGGCTAAGTGATCAGAACAGGACGACGTGACGATGTCCCTGTGCGGAGCCACTCTACCACCTCCAACACGGTCTCTGTCCTTATCACAGCCCTCTGGGGGGCGTCCTCTGCTCATGAGCAAGGAACTAGGCCTGAGGTCACCCTGCAGGGCCTTGTCCCCAGGCCCTGGGCAGTGTGCTCCCCTGCGGCCGAAGGTGGCCTCCTCCATCAGCGGGTCTTGGCCAATGAGTGTACGACACTGCAGGCTGCCTGAGCTAGGCCCAGGCTGGACGGGTGTGGCCTGTCCAGAGCCAGAACACACGGTCGGGGGGCTGTCACGCTTCTGGCTGGTCCTCCTGTGCTCTGGCTGACGGCAGGTGCTCGTGCCTCCTGGACGTGGGGTGCAGGTCTGTGGCCAACACAGAGGCTACGCCGCCCAGTGGTTTAGCACGTCCCAGGAGGGGACCTTGGCCTAGCGCAGGAAAGACCTCCTCCCGGTGCGGAAGAAGGACTCAATCTGCTCCAGCGACCGGCCTTTGGTCTCAGGCACGCAGCAGCCGGTGAACACCAGGTTCACCAAGCAGATGGCAGCAAAGAAGAAGAAAGGCACCTGGAGGCCGAAGGCATTCTGGGGGTGTAGAGGGGGTGCTGGGTCACACGGGGAACGCAAGGGTCCTCCTGCCACAGGATGAGCCTCATGGGCCCTGCTAGCGTTAGCCAGCCTTGTGGCAGGGGGTCTCTCATCTGCTTGTTACCCTGCTGAGAGACCTCCCAGGGCTCCCCACTGCCTCCAGCACAAAATCCCAATGCTTTAGCATGGCATCAAAGACCCTCGATGTCTGCACGCAGCCCTCCTCTGGGTGGGCCCTAGGAGTTGCCCCCCGCCCCAGCAAAAGCCTGCCCGGGCCCCGGCCCTCCAGCCTCAGCCTCTGCTCAGGTCCCCAGCTCTCTCCCTTGCCCTCTCCATGCTCATCTTTAAAGTTTCAGCTGTTCCACACTCCACCTCAGGAGGCCTGCCACCCTAGCCTGGCTGGGAGCATGCTCATGCTCTTCTGGGGCCACCCCCGATGTCCTCCCTGCCTGTGCCTCTCTGCTGGGGCTGTGCAGGCCCGCCTCCCAGCCCAGCCACTCACTCTGAGTGCCCCCAATCCTGCCCTGCCTCACTGACTGCACCAGGGTAGGCATTGGCCCAAGCTGCCCCCATCAGATTCTCCCTCCTGGGAGTTGGGAACTGGGACTCAGAGACTGGTTGGCTTCAGGGCCTGCTGGGGCTTTGAACCAAGAGGGGGGTTAAGCCAACTGGGAGCTGCGTGTGCAGGACGGGGCAGTGTGCACACATGCTGCAGGTGGTCTGATGAGCAGGGCACCTGCTGAGAGACCCAAACTGCCCACCCAGACCGAAGGCCAGCTGTCTGGGAGGGCAACAGCGCAGGTGGCTGTGGCCCTGGGCTCCGGCCCCGCCCTGGCCTGGGAAGTCACCTGACTTCTCAGAACGATCCCCTGAGTTCATGTCTGCCTACTGTGAGGTAATGATGTAATGATGTTGTCACTGGACGGCTCCTGGCCTCCGGTGTGAAAGGGGATGTGTGCTAATAACTTCTTGGAGGACCACTGTGGGGCTCAGAGGACAGGAGGAAGCCCTCAGCACAGCCCCAGAGAAGGCTAGAGAGGGCCCTGGCGGACCCAGGGTGCTGGGGCCAAGCACTCACCACCACCAGCAGGAAGGATTTGGTGAGGGCAAAGGCCGTGAGCCAGCTGACGAGCACGCAGAGCCCTGAGGCCACGCCGCGGGCCCGCAGGGGTAGGATCTCCGACATGAGCAGCCAGGTGATGGGCCCCCAGCCCATGGCGTAGCCTGCCAAAAGGGGACAAGGGGCAGGCTCAGACCCTGTGGCGTGGCTGGGGCAGGCCCCTTTTGTCTCCCCTGAGGTCTGAGAGACCCCTGCCCAACTAGCCCAGACAAACCAGGACAGCAGTGCCCCACTCCATGATAGGCAGGTCCCCCACATCTCACCCACAAGACAGCCCCTCTCTCCCTGGCCAGCAGCCCTTCTAGACTGCCTCCCCGCCCCCCTGGAGTCCCTGCCACACCTACCCATGATGAAGAGCATCGTGGCCAGCAGGGGCACCAGGGTGATGTAGCTGGTGGGTGTGGCCAGGGGCTGCTCTGTGCCCGCTAGGGTCACACTCTCCAGGCCCACGGTGCTGTTAGGGGTCAGAGGCTTCGGACTGAAGTGGACGTATAGCCCCAGTGTCAGGTTGGCAGCAAACATGATGGCTGCTGTGGATAGACAGGTGGCCCTCGGGGGGCCAGGACTCTGAGCTGGCTGCTCCTCTGGAAGCTCCCTTCACGAGCCCCTCAGTGCCCTGCGCCCCGCAGAACAGCAAGCTCCAACTCCAGCCCACATTTGAGCTTCCATCACACCCACTGTGGTGTGTCACGGTCGACTTGTTCACGCACACAAGCCCCAGCAGACCTTTCTGGAGCAGCTGGCGCATGCCAGGCCCTGTGCCGGGCGCTGGGGAGGCGGAGGCCAGCAGGGCAGGCCTGACCCAGGTCCTCCGGAGCTCGCAGCCACACGCGCCCACCGCGAGGGCCGGCACGACAGGCAGCAGCTGCTGAAGGAGTGAAGGAGTAAGTGGGGGGCAGGCTGGGGCTCACCTGAGACGAAGAGCAGAACCTTGCGGCCCGCCAGGTCCATGGTGAGCGCGGCGATCAGCACAGACAAGAGCCTGACGGCCCCCACAATGGCTGCGTCCTCCTCGGGGGGCTGCAGGGAGGAAACCAGTGTGGCTGAGGGACCCTGGCCTGCCACTCCTATCCCCCGTCCCCCTAAGGCCTCCTTTGGAGCATCGAGCCACTGAGCACCTAGGACGTGGCAGCTGTTCTCTCTGGTCACCCGACCTAGCCCGTGGGGCTTCTTGGCAGGGGCACAAACGCTGTGCCCACCGCTGAGCCCAGGGCCGGCACAGAATCCAGGCGTGACACCAACCAGTGGAACTGTGCTGTCGCTAATCTTCAAATCTCATCTTCCTTTCAGCCTGATGAAGCCAGGCTCTCTATTATCTCCATTCTGCAGAGGAGGAAGCTGAGGTTTGGAGGGGAAGCGACTTCCCTCAGCGAATGGAGATGCTCTGAACCTGGGGTCCATGGTCCCCAAGGGGTCTGCATTTCTATAAAACTGGTTTCCTTTGTAGTCCTGTATGTTTTATTTTCAAACATGTAAGCTTTGATTACAAACACTATTGTGAGAACAGGTGCACGGGACAGAAACAGTTAAGAGACCCTAGTGATCTCTACGTGGTGCATGCTCCCCTGACACGTGGCTCAGAGCAAGTGCTCAGGAAGGGACAGCCTGGGCTCCGAAGGACGCTGGGGGCAGAGCCAGGGCGGAGTGGGAGCCGGGCTCTCACCAGCAGGACGGCAGTGCTGTCGAAGATGGGCTGCAGGTAGACGAGGATGGGTGTGATGCCCGTTAGCTGCTGCAGGAAGCGCATCAGCAAGGCGATGAGGATGGGTCGGTACACATGGGGGTCCCGGGCCTCGGCCCATGACATGTGGCTGCTCTGGAGACACGAGGCCGCCGCTGAGGGAAGAGGCGCCACCCTGGCCCAGACTCCATGGGGCCGAGTAGGAGACTCCCTTCTTCCCTCCTTCAGGAAAGAACCTGCATACTGAGGCCACCCAGGCCAGGGGACAGGCCCGGGGGACCCGAAGCCCAGGCTCTTGAATAAGTGGGTGGGCCAAAGCAGACTCCTGCTTGTCTCTGGGTCCCCAGGCACCCACCACACGGACATCCCCCCACCATTCCTGGTTCCTGAAGCTGGGAACTGCTTGCTGTAATCTCCGTTTTTCAGGAAAAGCAATGGAGGCTTAGACAAGCCTAGGAAGTGGCCATGGCCACACAGAGCTGTGGGCACCCACCCCTCCGCACCTGTCTCTGGACGTTGTCCTGGATCTGCTCGAACTCCCAGCGGGTGTCGGTGTCGGCCCCACGCAGCCAGGCCAGCGCCCGCGTCGCCTCGGAGTCCCTGCCCCGCGAGAGCAGGAAGCGAGGCGAGTTGGGCATGAAGCTGAGTAGCAGGATCATGATGAGCACAGGCCCCTCCCCGGCCACAGCCAGCCAGCGCCATGGCAGCAGGAGGCCTGGGGGTGAGGAGAGTGTGAGGAGCTGGGGTCCAGGCTGCACACCGAGCTCCCTCCCAATGGGGCCTCTGAGCAACCTCATCTGCCCTCAACGGCTAGTCCCAGGGCCGCCTCCTGCAGGAAGCCTACCCTGATTGCCCCAAGCCTCTGTGGTCTAGACCAGGAGGGGCCACAGGGATTGCTCGGCCCCTAGCACAGGGCCCAGCACATAGTAGGGGGTCCTCGGAGGGTCTCAAGGGCCATGGTAGGGTGACAGAGGGGTAGCCTGAGCAGGGAGGGCCCCAGGCCTCTACCTGCAAACTCCCACCCACCTCAACCAGCTCTGATCTCTTTTCTATATAGACTTCCCACTTGAGACTATTCGAGGGAAACATTCTGCTACTAAAAGATAGTTAGAAGACTGATGGCCCAAGAGAAGCCCTCACTGCCCAGTTAGGGATGGGGCTTGTGACCAGAGAGGGCAGGAAATTGCCTGGAGGTACACAGCATGGTGGTGGCCAAGCGAGTCTCTTGCCTCCCAGCCCAGGGTTCGTTTTGGGATGTGATCATTCCCTTTCCACCCATGTCTGCTCATGGCACCCTGTCACCCCTGAGCCTGCACTGCGGACATGCTTAGTGCTCATCTGGATGATACTTGCCAAGGGCGTAGAGGGACAGTGATCCGAACACTGCCATGAGCTGGGGCGTGGCTCCCAGGGCCCCACGAACGCCTGGGGGAGCTATCTCAGACACGTACACCTGCAAGACACATCGCCCCGCCCCGGCTTTGGTGAGAATGCAGGTTCCTGGGCCTGGCCCAGATGGGAGAGGAGGCCCTGGTGAAACTTGGGAAGTGGGAAGTGGGACTTCTGGTGGGGTTCTTGTCCTGATCATGACTCACTGCGTGACCTCCCTCAGGCCTCAGTTTCCCTAACTGTCGAGTGGGCAGGAGCACTCAGCTCTGAAATAGGTAGCGTGAGGCTGGGAATTGGGAGGCCCAAGGGCACCCAGACTCTGGTCTCTGCTCTTCCCAGAGGTCTGCATCCCTACCGGGCTCGCCCCAGCCCCTGATGGGGAGTGTGTGGAGAGGTGGTAAGAAGAGACGCCCAGGGAGGGCCCGGGGAAGGCACTTCCCTTTCCTCTCTGTTGCTCAATGTGGATTTTCTCCAATTGAGCAATGTATCTGACTGTCAAGAAATGGGTAGGAAGTTTGGGGAGTCCAGAGTGGGGGCAGCTGGGGACAGACTTCCCCGAAATGAGCTGCCCTCGTGGTGCACAGCTCAGGCTCCCCGGCAAATGCATCCCCTGAGCCGGGGGCTCAGAGGCCAGGAGACCTGAGCCAAACGGTGGTCTGCACAACACTGAGGCCGTGAGGAGACCCGGGGTGGGCAGTCCTGGCCTTACCGGGATGCAGGCAGCTGTGAGGCCCCCGGCGAAGCCCGTCAGCGTCCTCCCCAGCAGCAGCATCCAGAGGCCGCGGGCGCCCGCCATGAGCGCGTAGCCAGCTGCCGAGGGCACAGCTGAGAACATGATGCTGAGCTTCCGGCCCAAGAGGTCATTGAGGACCATGGCACTGAGGCCCCCAGCCGCAGCACCCAGGGTGAACACGGACTGCAGAGAAAGGGTGCATGGCAGACACGTCTGGGCACCCAGCACCCTCCTTCCCCCATCACAGCTTAGAGACAGCTGCTTTGCCAGGCTGACCCTGGAGCCTGGGCTGCAGGACTCAGGCCCTGTATAGTAGTGAGCCTCCCGTCTCCAGAGGTGTACAAGTAGCATGTGGACAACCGTTTGTCAGGGATACCACAATGGGGAGTCCTGCTCTGGGGAGGAGGTGGGGCCACATGTCTACAGTGATTCTGTCCAGCCAGATGTTTAAATAAGATAAGATACCATAAATATCTGATACCATAAGATAGCAGATGGGAAGCCCCTGTGACTTGAAGCCCCTGGGATTTTAAGATTTGGGGGGTTCTTGGATTCCCTGTAGAGTGTTGTGAGAAGGATCCAGCCTGTCCGAGCCTCACTTTCTTCAGCTGTATGATGGGGAGAGAGGGTTGGCCCTGGAGTCAACCAGCTCTCATGTGAAGTGCCAGCACACGCCTGGCACGCCGGGTGCTCAGTACACGTTCGGTATTGTCATCTCAGCCACTCTGTTGTATTGTAAATTCCAGGCTACTAAGATTGTCATTCTCGATCTCTGGGGCTCTCGGGCCTGTGCTCTTCCTTTCCACGTGTCCACAGTCTATCCTGTGACCCTCCTGGCCCCAGCTGGGGCCTCTTTCCATTGACCCCTGATGGCCCTGCCCCCATCATCCAGGGAGGTGTCTGCTCTGCTGTGACAGCCCAGCCCTGGGTGTGGGGGACCTGGAGAACCCTCGGCCCCAGCGGGGGGACCTTGAGGCACACCTCCTCACTTGCTCCTTCCCACGCCTTCCCCATCAGCTTTCACTTCCTGCGTTTACTTCAGAGCTATCATCTGGCCTCACTCCCCTGCTGCCCACCCTGCGGCCTGGAGTGGGGGCGCAGAGGGGCAGACCAGGGCCCAGGAGGGGGTCTGTGAGTCCCTGCCCACCACCTCCCCCCTGCCCTGCCCCTCTCCTGCTCAGCATGGCCCTTACCCCGAACCAGGATGCCTGGGTTTTGGTCAGATGCAGGTCTGGATCCGAGGAGCGCTCCAGGGCCGGGATGACGGGGGATGTGTAGACCAGGGCATACCCGAAGCTGAAATTGCCCAGCACAGCGGCGAAGGTAGCCAGGAACACCCTCTTGTTCTGTGGGGCCCTGGGGGGGGTGGGCACAGTGACCAGGGTCTTTAAGCCCCTCCTCACTGAATTGCTGCCTGTCCTGAGCCCAATGGCTGCCCGCCCAGAGGGCAGTGCTGGGAGGGCTGGGTTGAGGGCCAGTCAGATTGGTACCTTCCCAGGGCCTGATGGCCAGCTCCCTTGGGAAATCTCCAGGGCGTGAGGACAGTCCTCACAGCCCATCGCTGTGGCTGAGACACAGGTGCAGGAGCCCTTTTCTCCAGAAGAGGAGGCCTGATTTCTGCTCCCAGCTTTGCCACCCAAAGCTTGCTGTATGACCTTAGGCAAGCCCCTCGCCCTCTCTGGGCCTCAGCCTCACTGTCTGTGCCAGTTGGGGCTGAGCCCGGTACTCGGGGGGACCAGCTCCTTAAATAGGACTAGAGCATCTGGAGCAGGAGGGGACCAGATGGCCCCTTGGTGGCCACTCACTGAAGGTCAGTGGAGGCCCAAGGCGGGAGTCAGCCTCCCGCTGGAGGGGACTAGGGCCATCCCCAGCCCCCACCCGCAGCCCCCATGCCCAGCGACTCTCACCCGACCCGTGTCCTCTCCCTCGGCGACGGGGGCGGGTTCTCGGAAAAAGTGTCATAGTCCGGGCCCTCAGCTCCCAGCAGCGGCTCCTGCATGGCCGGCCTCTCCCGTCAGGGCACGCGGACGGCGGGGCAGCTGGGCCGGGAGGCGCGTGGGGTCGCAGCTGCTCGGAGAGTCCTGCCGAGCCCGCAGCTCCGCCCCTCGGCCGCGATTGGCTCCGGGGCGGCCC